TGAAAACTGAGGGGAATTGAGACTCTAAAGATGTGGTTTGGGTACTAGAAATAAATAACATGCTTATAATCAAAAGGAATGAGGTATGTTTGAGACCCTGAAGTAAAATAGTCAAGCTAATTTCAATCCCTTTCCGCAGTTTCAAAGGTTAAGTAAGGAACTATGAAGCCAAGGTGTCAGATGGGCCAGAAATAAACGTAAATGAATATGGCAGAGGATGAGGGGGTGGAGAAGATAACTGACTAGGCATCAAGACAGTTAGGGTGTTATGATGGAGGTCATAAACACAGCAATAAGGACAGAGCTTAGAGGTCAAGGTTCAAAAATAGAGGTTGATAGAGAGAGAATAATAGCAGAAGAAATAACAGTAGAAGAATGCTTTTCAGGTTGATCATGTCTTCAGATGCAAAGTCAGCAGAGAAGCAAGTACATGTAGCAGGAAGGTAAAGGATTAGTTTAAATAAGATATAAGCATTGCTCCCTGCCCATACTACCTTATCACCCTTTTAATCCTTCTAATCCTTAAAATTACCTGTAAGGCATTTTCCCCCATTTTACAAATGAAATATTCTGGTTCTGGAATTTCAATTTTTGCCCTTACTTCAAAATCTAAAGCTTTACAACATACTGACTTTCAGTGGTTTTTAAACTGTTACTGCAGTCTTCAAAGACTAACTAGAAATCATGTCTGATATTTGAAATGGATATTAAACACAATGGTCTTTTTTAAGGTATAGTTTACATATATAACATTATATTAGTTTCAGGAGTACAATATAATGATTCAACATTAGGGTATACTGGGAACTGATCACCACAATAAGTCTAGATAACATCCATCTCTACCCATATTCATAATTTTTTTCTTAAGAACTTTTAAGATCTACTCTATGCAATATAGTATTATTAACTGTGGCTACCATGCCACACTTTGTCCACCTGATACAAAGAACCAAATCATTGGAAAAGACCTTGATGCTGGGAAAGATGGAGGGCAAGAGGAGAAGGGGGCAACAGAGGATGAGATAGTTGGATGGCATCACTGACTGAGTAGACACAAGTTTGAGGAAACTCAAGGAGATAGTGAAGGATGGGGAAGCCTGGCATGCTGCCATCCTTGGAGTTACAGAGTCAGACATGACTTAATGACTGAACAACAACTACTACCATGCCACACACTACATCCTCAGGACTTTTTAGTTTATAACTAGAAGTTGTGTGTTTTGGCCCATTTCACCCCACACTACTCCCCACTCCTGACGACCACTGATCTGTTTTCTGTATCTATGAGCTCCTTATTTTTTTTTTAAGATTACATATACAAATGAGATCATATGGTATTGGTCTTTTTCTGGTTTATTTCAGTAAGCATAATGTTCTCAAGGTCTGTCCATGTCCTGAATGGAATGGAAGACTGAGCATCACTTCATGGCAGACAGATGGGGAGCAATGGAAGCAGTGACAGACTTTATCTTCTTCGGCTCCAAAATCACTGTGCATGGTGACTGCAGCCATGAAATTAAAAGACGCTCCCTCCTTGGAAGAGAATCTGTGACCAACCTAGACAGCATATTAAAAAGCAGAGACATTACTTTTCTGACAAAGGTCCGTCTATTCAAAGCTATGGTTTTTCCAGTAGTCATGTATGGATGTGTGAGTTGGCCTATAAAGAAAGCTGAGAACCAAAGAATTGATGCTTTTGAACTGTGGTGTTGGAGAAGACTCTTGAGAGTCTGTTGGACAACGAGGAGATCAAACTAGTCAATCCTAAAGGAAATCGACACCGAATATTCACTGGAAGGACTGATGCTGAAGCTGAAACTCTTTGGCCACCTGATGCGAAGAACTGATTCATTAAAAAGACCCTGATACTGGGAAAGATTGAAGGCAGGAGGAGAAGGGGAAGATGGAGGATGAAATGCATGGATGGCATCACCGACTTGATGGACACGAGTTTGAACAAGCTCTAGGAGTTGGTGATGGACAGGGAAACCTGGCATACAACAGCCCATGGGAATGCAAAGAGCTGGACACAACTGAGCAACTGAACTGACAATATATATGTATACACTATGTGTATGTGTGTGTGTGTCTATGTGCATGTGTGTGTACACACACACCACATTTTTCTTTATCCATTCATCTATTGACAAGCACTTAGGTTGTTTCCACATCTTGGCTATTGAAAATAATGCTGAGGTGAACACGATGGAGAAGATATTTTTTTCAAGTTGGTGTTTTTGTTTGCTCTGGATAAATACCCAGAAGTAGAATTGCTGGGTTGTATGGTAGTTTCATTTTTAAGTTTTTGAAGAATCTTGATACTGTTACAATAGTGCTGCACAAATTTATATACACACCAACAAAGCGCAAGGGTTCTCTCTTGCCAACACTTTCTATTTCTTGTCTTATTGATGATAGTTATTCTGCCAAATATGAGGCAGTATTTCACTGTGGTTTTGATTCACATATCCCAGATAAATAGTGATGCTGTGCATCTTTTCATGTACTTGTTGCCCATCTGTACCGAAATTGGATTGATTATATTCTTTGCAGCCAAAGACGGAGAAGCTCTATATAGTCAGCAAAAACAAGACCAGGAGCTGATTGTAGCTCAGATCATGAACACCTTATTGCAAAATTTAGGCTTAAATTGAAGAAAGTAGGGGAAACCTGTAGAATATTCAGGTATGACCTAAATCAAATCCCTTAGGATTATACAGTGGGAGTGACAAATAGATTCAAGGGATTATATCTGATAGACAGAGTGCCTGAAGAACTATGGACAGAGGTTCATATCATTGTACAGGAGGTGATAATCAAAATTATCTCCAAGAAGAAGAAATGCAAAAAGGCAAAATGTTTGTCTGAGGAGGCCTTACAAATAGCTGAGAAAAGAAGAGAAGTGAAAGGCAAAAGAGAAAAGGAAAGATATACCCATCTGAATGCAGAGTTCCAAAGAATAGCAAGGAGAGATAAGAAAGCCTTCCTCGGTGATCAGTCAAAGAAATAGAGGAAAACAACAGAATGGGAAAGACTAGAGATCTCTTCAAGAAAATGAGAGATACCAAGGGAACATTTCATGCAAAGATGTGCACAGTAAAGGACAGAAACAGTAGACATAACAGAAGCAGAAGATATTAAGAAGAGGTGACAAGAATGTACAGAAGAACTATACAAAAATGATTTTATTGATCCAGATAACCATGGTGGTGTGATCACATAGAGTCAGACATCCTGGAATGTGAAGTCAAGTGAGCCTTAGGAAGCATCACTGTGAATAAAGCTAGTAGATGTGATGGAATTCCAGTTGAGCTATTTCAAATCCTAAAAGATGATGCTGTGAAAGTGCTGCACTCAGTATGCCAGCAAATTTGAAAAACTCAGCAGTGGCCACAGGACTGGAAAATGTCAGTTTTCATTCCAATTCCAAGGAAAGGCAATGCCAAAGAATGTTCACACTACTGCACACACTAGTAAAATAATGCTCAAATTCTCCAATCCAGGCTTCAGCATCACGTGAACCATGAACTTCCAGATGTTCAAGCTGAATTTAGGAAAGGCAGAAGAACCAGAGATATCTGTTGAATCATAGAAAGAGCAAGAGAATTCCAGAAAAACATTGACTTCACTAAAGTCTTTGATGGTGTGAATCACAACAGACTGGAAAATTGATAAAGAGATGGGAATACTAGACCACCTTACTTGCCTCCTGAGAAATCTGTATGCAGGTCAAGGAGCAACAGTTGAACCAGACATGGAACAATGGGCTGGTTCCAAATTGGGAAAGGAGTACGTCAAGGCTGTATAGTGTCACCCTGCTTATTTAACTTATATATTCAGAGTACATCATGTGAAGTGCTGGGCTGGATGAAGCACAAGCTGGAATCAAGATTGCAGGGAGAAATGTCAATAATCTCAGATATGCAGATTATACCATCATTATGGCTGAAAGTGAAGAGGAACTGAAGAGCCTCTTGATGAAGGTGAAAAAAAGAGTGAAAAAGCTGGCTTAAAACTCAAATATTCAAAAAACAAAGATCATAGCATCCGGTCCCATCACTTCATGGCAAATAGATGGAGAAACAATGGAAACAGTGGCAGACTTTATCTTCTTGGGTTCCAAAATCACTGCAGATGGTGACTGCAGCCATGAAATTAAAAGACACGTGCTCTTTGGAAGAAAAGTTATGACCAACCTAGACAGTATATTAAAAAGCAGAGACATTACGGAGCCAACAAAGGTCCATCTAGTCAAAGGTATGATTTTTCCAGTGGTCATGTATGGTTGTGAGAGTTGGACCATAAAGAAAGCTGAGCACTGAAGAATTGATGATTTTGAACTGTGGTGTTGGAGAAGACTCTTGAGAGTCCCTTGGACAGCAAGGAGATCCAACCAGTCCATCCTAAAGGAAACCAGTCCTGAATATTTATTGGAAGGGCTGTTGTTGAAGCTGAAACTCCAATACTTTGGCCACCTGATGCGAAGAACTGACTCGTTAAAAAGACCCTGATACTGGGAAAGATTGAAGGCAGGAGGTTGAGATGAATGAATGGCATCACCAACTTGTTGGACATGAGTTTGAACAAGCTCCGGGAATTGGTGATGGACAGGGAAGCCTGGCATGCTTCTGGCCATGGGTTGCAAAAAGTCGGCTGAACTAACCTGAGTGGCTAAACTAACAAACTGACTGACCATCTGTTTGTCTTCTTTTGAAAAATGTCTCTTCCAATCCTCTACACATTTTTCATTCAGATTATTTTTTTGTTACTGAGTTGTATGTACAATGTATTGTTCTTGAATTATATTCAGCTCTAAAAAGTTTCATGTGAGCTTACATATATAATCCTCCTTTTTAAATTTTTTTCAAGAGAAACATCTTGGATTCTTTTCCTTAATGAAACTAAGGAACCTACAAATGCATTCTAGATAATACATTGAATTTATGCAACTATAACCTAAAACCCTAAGTTAATATTTATCTTGCCTTACTTTTCAGGTGTGAAAATGAAACCAAATTCAAAACAGAAGAAGTATTTTGGGCTTACAATTTCTGCCCTACTCCATACTCCTGGACTGCACTTCTGGGCCTTATTTTATATCTTATTTTCTTCGCACCTGGTAAACAAAGACTCTGTTGTTTTTATTGTTATTTTAATTAAATTGTCTGTATTTAGAGAAGATAAGCTACTCTTTTAAATTCCTTACATGCTACTTTACTGAAATTCTTCATTTTGTACTTCTCAGGAATGGGACCAATGCCTTGGACTGTGAATTCTGAAATATATCCCCTTTGGGCAAGAAGCACAGGAAATGCATGTTCGTCTGGAATAAATTGGATTTTCAATGTTCTGGTTTCATTGACATTTTTACACACAGCAGAGTATCTTACATACTATGGTAAGAGAATATAGTTTCATTTTTATTTTCTACTCTGTTTTTAGATTTGCTGTCATTTGTGATTGAAAAACTAAATGGTTATATTTTTGCTATTACAAGTATCTCTATAAGGCTGTCTTATTCCCCAGAGCCCTTGGAAATGTTTCTGGGAAAAGATAAGAGGAACGGTCCTTTCCTAAGCAGTATTGCTTCTTTTCCCTCAGTGCTTTACAGCTTTACCCACCCACCTACACTTCAAACCCAAACATCTCCCAGCTATCCCTCAGTTGGAAGTCTTCACAAGACCTTTAGTTTAATGGAAAAAACATAAACAACAGAAAATTGTAGAAAGATCCTGGAGTCTAGGGGTAATGCCTGAAAATGTCTCTTTAACAGGGATGGGGTTGTAGCCAAGAGTAGAATCAAAGTAGGGTCAAAGTAGCTCCCCCAAATGTTGTGCTGTGTGTTCTGCCTTCCACTCCATCATATCTGCTGTTCAGACCAAAGTATTTCAGGATCCACTGAGACCCGCACTTCCCACTGCTGAAACTATAAGTGTAGCAGCGATGTTCATGTGAAAAACGTAGAGAGACCATAACTTGAAGAAACCAATCTTGAGAAATGACTGAGTTAGGAAAAAACTTTGGGAAACTACTTCAGGTTTATCTTTACTGGAAGAAAAGGTGTCTTTTTAGCAAGATAATTTCTTTATTGTCTGTATGAGTTTATAGGTTGTGATTGGATTCTAAATGATGAAATAGGGATTTTCATGCTAATCTCCTGAGCCTCTGTGATTATATACTGAATGTCTATCTATTGCTTATACCTCCCCCCCGTTCACCCCCCACTTCATGAATCACATATCCTGGGGAAGGGGCTCAATGAAGGTATGAGCCATGATGTACAGGGCCACCCAAAATGGACAGTTCATGGTGAAGAGTTCTTAGAAAATGTAGTCCACTAGAGGAGGAGATGGCAAACCACTCCAGCAACCTCGCCTGGAGAACCCCATGTACAATATGAAAAGGCAAAAAGATATGACACCAAAAGAGCCTGCCAGATCAGGTGTCCAATATTCTACTGGGGAAGAGCTGAGGACAATTACAAATAGCTCCAGAAAGAATGAAGAGGATGGGCCAAAGTGGAAACACTCAGTTGTAAATGTGTCTAGGGTGAAAGTAAAGTTTGATGCTGTAAAGAACAATATTGCATAGGAACCTGGAATGTTAGGTCCATGAATCAAGGAGAACTGAACATGGTCCAGAAGAAGATATCAAGGTTGAACATCAAAATCTTAGGAATCAGGGAACTAAAAGGGAAGAGAATGGGTGAATTTAACTCAGATGAGCATTATATCTATTACTGTGGGCAAGAATCCCATAGAAGAAATGGAGTAGCCCTCGTATTCAACAAGAGTCTGAAATGCAGTATTTGGGTGCAGGCTCAAAAAACAACAGAATGATCTTGGTTTCTTTCCAAGGCAAACCATTGAACCTCAGAGTAATCCAAGTCTGTGTCCCAAACACCGATGCCAAAGAAGCTGAAGTTGGTGCTAGTGGTAAAGAACCTGCCTGCCAATGCAAGAGACATAGATTTGGGTTTGATCCCTGGGTCAAGAAGATCCCCTGGAGGAGGAAATGGTAACCCACTCCAGTATTCTTCCCTGGAAAATCCCATGGATAGAGGAGCCTGGCAGGCTATAGTTCATGCAGTTGTAAAGAGTTAGACATGACTGAACCAACATAGCGTGCACACATGCTTGCCCCAACCACTGATGCTGAAGAAGCTGATGTTGATGGGTTCTGTGAAGACCTACAAGACCTTCTAGAACTAACACCAAAAAAAGATGTCCTTTTCATCTTAGGGAATTGTAATTTAAAAATAGCAAATCAAGAGATACCTGGAATAACAGGCAAATTTTACCTTGGAGTACAAAATGAAGCAGGACAAAGGCTAATAGATATTTGTTAAGAGAACAAGCTGATTATATATACCGAACACCCTTTTCCAACAACACAAGAGACAACTCTACACATGGACATCACCACATGGTCAGTACCTAAATCAGATTGATTATGTTCTTTGCAGCCAAAGATGGAGATGCTATATACAGTCAGCAAAAACAAGGCTGGGAGCTGTCTGTGGCTCAGATCATGAACTCCTTATTGCCAAATTCATACTCAAATTGAAGAAAGTAGGGGAAACCAATAGACCATTCTGGTTTGACCTAAATCAAATCCCTTATGATTTATACACTGGAAGTGATGAATATTTTTAGTGGATTAGATCTGATAGAAGAACTATGGACAGGGGTCCATAACATTGTACAGGAGGTGTTGACCAAAACCATCGGAAAGATAAAGTAATACAAGAAGGCAAGGTGGCTGTCTAAGGAGGCTTTACAAATAGATAAGTAAAGAAGAGAAGTGAAAGGCAAAGGAGAAAAGGAAAGATATACTCAACTGATGCAGAGTTCCAGAGAATAGCAAGGAAAGATAAGAAGGCCTCAAATGAACAATGCAAGGAGATAGAGGAAATCAATAGAATGGGAAAGACTAGAGATTCTCATCAAGAAAATTGGAGATATCAAGGGAACATTTCATGAAAGAATGGGCACGATAAAGGACAGGAACATTAAGGACTTAATAGAAGCAGAAGATATTAAGAAGAGGTGGCAGAAGTACAAAGAACTATACAAAAATCTTAATGACCGAGATTAAACTCTATGACTGGTCGCTCACCTAGAGCGAGACAACCTGGAGTGTGAAGGCAAGAGGGCCTAAGGAAACATTACTAGGAACAAAGCTAGTGGAGGTGATGGAATTCCAGCTGAGCAATTTAAAATCATAAAGATGATGCTGTTAAAGTGCTGCACTCAGTATGTCAGCAAATTTGGGAAACTTGGCAGTAGCCACAGAACTGGAAAGGTCAGTTTTCACTCCAGTCCCAAAGAAGTGCATTGCAAAAGAATGTTCAAACTACCATACAGTTGTGCTCCTTTTACATGCTAGCAAGGTAATGCTCAAAATCCTTTGAGCTAGGCTTCAGCAAATCATTAATTGAGAACTTCCAGATGTACAAGCTGGGTTTCAAAGAGGCAAAGGAGCCAGAGATCAAATTGCCAGCTTTTGTTGGATCATGGAGAAAGCAAAGAAGTTCCAGAAAAACATCTACTTCTGCTTCATTGACTACACTAAAGTCTATGACTATGTGGCTGACAACAAACTGTGGAAAATTCTTAGAGATGGGAATACCAGACCACCTTACCTGTCTCTGAGAAAGAAGTCAAGAAGCAACAATTAGAACTGGATTTAGAACCACAGACTGGTTCAAATTTTTTGAAAAGAGTGTTGCAAGGCTGAATACTGTCCCCTGCTTATTTACCTTGTATGCAGAGTACACCATGCAAAATGTACATGAATGAACATTGGGCTGGATGAAGCACAAGCTGGAGTCAAGATTGCCGGGAGAAATATCAACAACCTCAGATATGCAGATAATACTACCCTTATGGCAGAAAGCAAAGAGGAACTAAAGAGCCTCTTGATGAAGGTGAAAGAGGAGAGTGAAAAGACTGACTTGAAACTCAACATTCAAAAACCTAAGATCATAGCATCCAGTCCCATCACTTCATGGCAGATAGAAGGGGGAAAAGTGGAAGCAGTGACAGATTTTATTTTCTTGGCTCCAAAATCACTGGGGATGGTGAATGCAGTCATGAAATTCAAAGACGCTTGACCCTGGAAGGAAAGCTATGATGAACCTAGACAGCATATTAGAGATTTCAGTTTGCCAACCAAGGTCCATATAGTCAAAGCCATTTTTTCCAGTAGTCATGTACGGATATGAGAGTTGGACCATAAAGAAGACTGAGTGCTGAAAAATTGATGCTTTTGAATTGTGATGATGGGGAAGAGTCTTGAGAGTCCCTTGGACTTCAAGAGATCAAACTAGTCAATGCTGAAAGAAATCAACCCTGAATATTCATTGGAAGGACTGATGCTGAAGCTCCAGTACCTTGGCCACCTGATGCACAGAGCCAACTCATTGAAAAAGGTGCTGATGTGGGGAAAGATTGAAGGCAAATGGAGAAGGGCACAGCAGAGCATGAGATGGTTAGATAGCATCACTGACTCAGTGCACATGAATTCATGCAAACTATGGGAGATATTGGAGAACCAAGGAGCCTGATGTGTTACAGTCCCCGAGGTCCCTAAGTCGGACAGGAGTTAGCAACTGAACAACAAGTGCTTAGAACATTCTCAGATCCCCTCCCCCATTCCTCACTGCCACTCACCTCTCACCTCATCCCATATTCTGGCAACTTATAATTTATTTTTGTAAGAACAAATTTATTTGTCAGTTCCTCTATCTACCCTCTCACCTCTGGACCTTGAACTTAGGCCAGGATTATACTTTGTTCACCAATATATTCCCCATGCCTTCCAGGGCATTCTACTAAGCACTCAGAAGTGTTTGTCAAATGAATACATAGTTGAACTTTGAAATGAATGATGAATATGTGGAAACATCATATGTCTGTTCCTCCTCTCTTATGGACCTTCTGATTTGGTGTTTAGTTTTATTTAAAACTGTTTATCTAATGCTTTTTTTTAAATCTTTATGAAACTCCTCTCTCTCCCAATCACAATTGAAACATTTAGAAATATTTATTTTCTTGGAAAGGAAAGGCACTGGCATTTTAAACTGGATGTATATATTTAGTATGTTCAGCTTTATCCCATTTGGCAATTAGAATGTTTTACATAAATTTGTAAGCTTATCTTCCTAACAGCATAAATATAAACACAATAAATATTTACCTATATTTTCTGATCCTTGAGAATACTTAAATATTTAAATATGGACTTATTTCTTGAGAAAGCATTTTTTAATGGAAAGTCATAGACCAAATAGTAAAAGTCTACATGGTAAGACTTTTGATAGCAAAGCTCCTCTTCTTGAATCAGTTCTCTCAGGAAAATATGAGGCCACAGAAGTAAAATTTAAATAGGGCATAT